CATATCTAGAATACCAGCTTTTCTTTTCATTAATGCATTTGATTTATTTAGTTTACATATTCCTAAACTGAGAAAAGATGGTCTACACTACACATTTGTATCAATTGGAGAACGCATGGGTAGTAAAGGGAACTAGACAAAAATTTGGTAGAAGTTTGAGACTTTTTAGTAACACACATCCGCGTAGTAGAAAATGGAATACAAAACCATGTATGTTCTTCATATAAGTTTGGAAATCTCAGTTTTGTAACTCCTCTTCATTTTACCTAAAAGAATATCTACAAATGTAAAACTCAAGTCCTAAACATCGATTTGAAGATTCAAACAACTAATAGATATGAATTTGGATTAAAATTCATCTCATCGCGCAAGTTAGTGGCTATCCAGACTCAATTGATAAGTGGATAACTAGTTGTCATCTGAAGCGAAAGGTTGTAAGTTCAAGTGTTGGAGTGAACATCAACTCTGACATGCAGGCACATCCAGCTGACGAGTTTCAAACAGGATGACACGCACATCATGGATTCTACTGCTAGCCACTACCATCCATCTCTGCCTATGATGTTTGCGATCTACTACCTATATTAAGGCAATCCGTACAGAATGCACAAATGCCAAAAAAAGATTGAAAAATTCCAGTTCCAAACATCACTGAGATGATCCAAACAACCAAAATATATGAATTAAAATAAAACTCAAGTTAGGTTTAGAAAAATTCAAGTTTTTAGCATACTTCAAATGATTGAGACTCATCGGCTAAACACACCCAGATCGCATTGTTGATATTCATAATGCGACTCAAACCCAGTAACTATCACTTCAGACGTGATCACCACATGTAATTTATCAATAACTTGATCATCATTCGATGTAACTCAATAGTCAAGTACACATTTATACACTCAACTTCGAATCCTACATTTTCTAAGAAATCATACAATGTTACAGATGTAAGTGAATCTACACTTAACATTACCATGTAGAGCAGAATACACTAAACATTAAAGTATTATCCATGAATAACTTGATCATTAAAATATGGATACATTTTTGTTTTCATTTTCTAATCTTTATGATCTAATAAAACAGGTTTAAGCTCAGATTCATTTGTTTATCCACCACGTTCCAGTGATGATACATCGGATGAATATAAAAATTATACAGAACAATGGGATCGATTATTTTCTCAATATGTTTATAGTTTCTATTGGTCTACATTAATCTTAACAACAATTGGAGAAACACCAAAACCAGTACGTAATGCTGAATATATATTTATCACTATTGATTTTCTTGTTGGGGTATTAATATTTGCAACGGTTGTTGGTAATGTTGGTGCAATGATAACAAATATGAATGCAGCTAGAACAGAATTTCAAAATAAAATGGATGGTGTTAAAAGGTGAGTAAGTGATTGTAAATAAATGATTTAATCAAGTATAATATTGAATTTTCTATCTTAAACATCATCTTAACATCAAACAATAGAAATGATTGAAAATTGACTATAAGCTTGATTAACTTAATAATTATGTGTAGTCAATGAGATTGGTTAAGTACATTTTTATTGCATGAATATCATGAATATAATGTTAAAATTAGGGAGAGAACAAACCAGCTTCCAGATGAAGAGGAAATTAGGACAAGACGATGGAAATAAATAGGAAATACATTAGGCAAATCATTAAACTTCATCATGAGGCAAGCCTTAACTTGGAATCTTGAAGGAAAGCGGAAAAGAGGAAGGCCAAAGAACACATTACGTCGTGAAATAGAATCAAATATGAAAAGGATGAATAACAACTGGAAAGAACTGGAAAGGATTGCCCAGGACAGGATTGGATGGAGAATGCTGGTGGGTGGCCTATGCTCCTTCACGAGAAGTAGCAGGCATAAGTAAGTATGTAATGTTAAAATTAAACATGGACCTATTATACATTTTTGTCAGCATGGAGTTGTGGAGATTGTTGAGTTTTTGACTGAGATTATGAATATATCAATGTTAGATCACAAGGTTCTCAATGGTGGTCTAACATTGGTTGATTCATGATCTCAATCAAAAAATTAACAATCTCCACAATCCCATACTGATAATTACTATTTACTTCCTACTAAATAGCTTTGAAAGGTAGTTCTCACAGTTCTAGTGAGAAGCCGTTACCGGTGGAGCTAATCTGTGCAGGATGTGAAGCAGTTATCCACCGAAGACAATGAAAGATAATCACTCAGTTTCATGAATTAGTCAAAGTTAGACATAACACCGTTGAATGTCGTATCAGTGGTCTAGAGGTTAGGCATTCACACGAAAGACCGAAGATTATAGGTTCGAGTAGTGTGTCCGGGATCGTCAATACGTACTGTTGAGGAGTCCCATACTAGGACGAAACGGCCGTCCAATGACTCGAGGTTTTCAATGGTGGTCTAATATTCGTTCATTCATGATCTCAATATGGATTTTTAATTTCACTTTTATACATAATAAAATGTTTTGTTTCAGTTACAATTATCTCTGTGACATGGGAAAATATCGAGCCCATCCTCATAGAATTCACATATGTCAATGAGAGACTGATTAGCTTCAGTCCTAAATATCAATGAGAAGATTTAGACAACTAATACAACAATGAATTCTGACATGTTTGTTTTTATATGTAACTTCATGAAAAACTCTTATTTCAAAAAGAGTTCACCAGTGTATACTTTCTGATCAGTCTGTTTTTGAGTGAATAGTCACCAGTTTTTTTTGGTAATTTTGTAATTATTCCCGGTATGTGGTGAAAAGTATTCCCAAAAAACAATTCACTGTTTTTCCGGAATTTAAGCTACAAGTATCACACTGTATTTGTAATTTTTAAGAATAAACCTTCATCCAATATCCCAAAATGGAATGTGGTAGACTTTTTTTTAACTTGAAGTGAAAAATATGATGGTAGTATTGTAGTGAACAAGAACACCAGTGGGGACAATCGAATGTATTTAACACAAAACTACAGAGCATCTCAATAAAATCTGAGAACCATATATCAAATCGTTAATTTTCAAAATGTCCACCAGTTGTTTCAAAATGCCTCAGACTTCATTGTCCTTGCACTTTCATACAAATTGCATTCTATTCCAGCTCTTGCTTTCTTGATCTTCCCCCATCTTCTGCTGCCAGACATTACATTCCTGACTCGCGTCATATACTACTTATATCAATATAACTAGCACGCACCACAGTATAAGTATTCAAAGTCTGATCAGCTGATGAGATTTTTAGGCGTTATAAAGGAATATTATTATTTCAACGTGTACTGTACAGCCGAAAGATATAATACAACATTAATAAACTTTATTTACAACATAATAATGATGAAATATTTTTGAGGAAATCATAAACTTATGCTTGAGATATATAGAGTGTGAGGAATAAGCGGATACTTTATTTTCCTAAGTTAGGGTTCCGTAATAGGAAACACCCATCATCAAACACTGGGAGGCTCGAATGCAAAACTCTCATATTTTTTGGTAAGTTTATTCATAGCTGGTGATATAGCTCATTGATTATTCAATATCACGGGATTTGACAGTCGTAAATTCGATTCCACACAGAATAATCTTAGATGGGCAGTAATGAAGTATGTAACATCATACTAAATCATCTGTTTATCAATAATCACAATGCTTTAGATAACTAATGAAAATTACTCTTAAATGATAAGAAAAACAATCTTTATTTATGAACCTATTGTCTTGTTTCATAACATTTAGATATATGGAATTTCGTAAAGTTAACAAAGAATTAGAACTTCGAGTAATCAGATGGTTTGATTATTTATGGACTAATAAACAATCATTAGAAGAGGATAGTCTTAATGCTTTACCAGATAAATTAAAAGCTGAAATTGCTATTCACGTTCATTTTGATACATTAAAACGTGTTAGCATATTTAAAGTAAGCGTATTTTATAAAAAGAATAATTTTTATAGGTGGACATATATATACTACTTAAATAAATCTTGGATTAAAATAAATAATTGTTTTGAATTTTAATTTATTTTTGTATTGATTCTTTAAATCTTCCAACTGATGTTTATGACTGCAATTGATCAGTATCTTGTTGGTATATGTACATTCTGTGTGGATTGATGCGATATTGTATTCAGTCAGAAGCATTATAGGCGTTTCGTCCTATCTGGGATTCTTCAGATGGATGTACCTGAATCCCGGAGTTAATGTTCACTCCGAGACTCGAACACAGTACCGTTTTCTTCAAATGCCACTGTGTTATCTACTTGGCTGCTGAGTTCAGATAGGGAGGGACTTGCATCCTACATTCCACTACTAGTCATTATCAATCTTTGCTCACAATGTTTTGAATTTTATAAAATATTTAATTGGATTCTTCTAAGAATATAGGATTATTTTAAAAGGGTTTATCAATTGTTTAACTCATTTTATTATTTTAACTGTTTATTATCATCAAATTAGAAGTATATTATCATATTTTATTAAGAAATGATCCCATTTCTAAAGTTTCCTTGATCAATATTATTAAAAACTGAAATGTAGTATCTCCATTTTTAAAAAGTACATAGTATCTACTATTATTGCTTGAAAACATTACTTGAATTGTATTTTTCTGAATATCCATGATTATATAGAAGAGAAGATGAACTTTGATATTGTTGTGTCTGTGAACTGCAGATTAGATGTGCAGTGACTTATCGATCGGATCAATCACACGTAAGAACGACCTAGAGTCCCGATTGGCTCTGCTTCCCTGTCCAGCCCAGCCAGTTGAGTCCAGAACGCAAGTCTCAACCTCTAAGATATGAATCATTATATTTCAGACGTACTCTATTTATATACCAATCAAACAGACCACATTGTACCATAAAATGGAAAACAACATTTGTACAATATTTGACAAGTGAAATAAACATTGACCAATAGGAAACGTCCATTTCAAGTCCAAGGACGCCATTAGACTTAACAGGATAATTATTAGGATATTTTCTTGAATATCCCAACAAATATGAGAGTTTTTACTGTATACAAAAAGGTAAAAGAACCATAAAATTACTCTGTTCATTTAGTAACTCCATAATCTTGAGAAAAATATGACAAAATGACAAATTAAAAAGTAAAATTACCAACCAAAGAATAGTCAAGGTCAGTGTTCGGATTACAGATTTAAGGTCATTATATAATTTAAATGTAAACAAGATAAAAGTAGAGATAAGTTTAATTCTTGTTTTAGTGTAGTAAACGTGAGCACAATTGAGGACAATCGAATGTATTTGAACACGAAATTACAGAAAAATCTTAGTAAAATTTGAGAACTATACAGTAAATACTTCTTTTGCAAAATGTCAATCAATCGTCTTCAACTTCATTGTTCTTTCATTTCCACACCAATCATTCTTTGTTCTCATCCTCTTTTCTTCGATCTTCTTAACCTTCTATCACCAGACATTTCACTTTCGCTTGATGATACATACTACTTATATCTATCGACATCAGTAGCACACACTGCATTAGTAATGCCAAAATAAAAATATTAAGGTTTGACAAGTCTTTCTTGAAATAATATTCATGTTAATAAAACTTCATTTCAGAAATAGTCATTGATGAATATTTACTGCTAGGTTTGAAGCTATTATGAGTTCACTTAGTATGCGAACGGAACAAAGACTTGTGACTGTAGACCAATAAGCTAGCTATTTCATGCATCCCAGCCGTGCTAACTAGGGGAAGAAGTTTAAGCTTGGAACGGGAAAGTATATTCCGTAAGCCAGAAGCACAAGTGAATAATAACAGACACAAATCAAACGTATATATACAACATAAAACCGTCCTTGGGAAGCGTTGCAAAATAGCATACTAAAAATACACAATGGACCGATAGCGCTAAAGATTCTTCCAAGTGGGAAATACGACATGAAGGTGAAAAGTGTGCTTTTGGCGCGAAAACAAGGAAATTCAAATTTCCAAACAGAATTATAAAATTAAGGCATTTACGCAATGAGCTCTGGGGATCTAACATCCCCAACACTTACTAATGATATTGACTGATCACCAGATTATTTAACGAAATCACTGAAGATGAAATATGTGAACCACTGTATTCTGACTAAAATATCTCAGATTGAAATGAATGACTTATTCTATGCTCCATGATAACTAATCTTCTTTTATAGCTGTTATTAGCCTTCAGTTAAACTATCTTCGAATTGGATATATCTTAGTTTATGATTATTAATAAAACACAAATAATAAATTGGACAATTTACAAAGTCATTCTGTAGTGAACTGAACACGGGTGGGGACAATCGAATGTATTTAACACAAAATTACAGGAATTGTTAATAAAATCTAACAATCAAATAGTAAATACGTAATTTGCAAAATGTCCACCAATTGTCTCATAATGACTCAGACTTCATTGTTCTTACATTTTCATACAAATTGCATTCTGTTTCCATTCTTTACTGTTCGATCCTCTTGTCTCTCTGCTGTCAGACATTCTGTTCAAGACTAACGTCATGTAATACTTATGTTAACATAAGTAACACACACCATATTTTCACCTGAGAAATCGATAGACCATTACATTACTCACAATTAAATATTATAGTTCAAAAAATACTCGGTAGTAAAGATTATAACGATTTTGGCTGGAAGTGGAATTGAGGATTCTTTGTTACTCTATATTTGAAACTTGTCAGCTGGATGAAACTTTATCCTTCTGTTATTGTTCTCACTGAGTATTAAATCTAATGTTTTTCATTTAAAATGCTAATAAGTAGTTATTCACAATGTTGCTAGGTTGTAAAAGCCATTACTTTGTTAAACTGATAAGAATGTTATTTGTAAGGGTTTATATTATTCCGTAGTTCATATTTACGATTGTCTTGTTACAGTCTAATACAACGAAACCTCGAGTCTTTGATTCCACTGTTAAACATAATTCTAATATTTAGAAACCTACTGCAAAGCGATTATATTGAAACGATTCACTTATAATCCACAGGTGTCAACAAAGATTGACTAAAATTCAGTAATAAATGTTAATAACGAGATACTAATGAATTATTCAAATGAAATAAATAACTACTTGCTAACTGAAAAACTCAAGAAACATTCATTTAACTACTTAGAGGCCTATTCATGGATACAATATTAAATAATTACAACAATATTTTCACAATATATTTGACATTGAAATAAAGGAAATATTTTTAAGTCAACACTATAGGGGGTTGTAAATGGAGATAGACATGAGGAAAATGAACAAGAATTGGATGGAACTAGGAAAGAAGGCCCAGGACAGAGTGGGTTGGAGAATGCTGGTCAGCGGCCTATGCTCCATTAGGAGTAACAGGCGTAAATAAAAAAGTAAAGTAAAAAGTAAGTAAGTAAGTATAGGGAGTTGTGGCGATTATTAAGCTGTATTTTTATAATTGAGATCATGAAACGATTGACGTTAGGTTTTCAATGATGGTCTAACATCAATCGGTTCTTTATCTCAATTTAAAAAAAACTTAATAATCACCACAACCCCTCTATTGATAATTACCATGTGCTCACTAGTGACTAGCTTCGAGAGGGAATTCTCCGAATTCTAATGAGAATCCGTGACCAGTAAAGCTAATCCGTTTCGATTAGTGACAGGTATCTACCTCAGTACAATGGAAGATGATCGCACAATTTCGTGGATTGATTGAGGTTCAACATTAACACCATTGAATGCCGGTCAGCTAAGTGGTTCAGTAGGTTAAGCGTTCGCATACGAAACTGAAAACCATGGTTTCAAATCCCACGACCGAGATCGTGGATGCGCACTGCTAAGGAGTCTCACAATAGAACGAAACGATCATCCAGTGCTTCCAAGTTTCCAATGGTGGTCTAACATCGATCAGCTCATGATCTCAATTAATCCTGAAGTTTTCATTGTTTTTCTAAACAACATCATCAATTTCCCCAATTCAATCATTCAACTCGAAGAACAAAACATTTTTTCTCTTTCTCATATATCATTCCTCTATTTATTTATATTACCTCTGATTGACAATTATTAGTTCAATTTATTAATGTACTTTAATGAAAGAGAACAAAAATATCAAATCATGATACCTACATAATAAATGTTCTTTTCAATTCAAGGAAAAAAAGTTTTCCAAGGTCACTCTTTTTTTTCTAAAAAAAAAAGAAAAACAAAACAAAAAAACATGTAAACGAGGTTGAAAAAACATTCTTTCAATAAATCTATTTTGTTTATTTATTTGTTTATTCATTTTAAAATTGAAATTTTTCAAAAATCAATATTTTTTGTTTATTTTTTTCGAGAAAATAATGTTTGAAAAATTTTTTTTATAGATTCTTTTTTGTTATTTTCTTCAGTTTCTTTTTTTTCAAAACAAGAAAAAAAGAAAGAAACTCTCATTATTAATTGGTTGCATCATTTTAAACTTATTGGATTTTAAAAATTGAAATGGTTGAGAAAAAAAGAGAGGGGAAAAAAGAATTAAAACTTACTAGTATAGGGGGTTGTGGAGATTATTAAGTTTTTGATTGAGATCATGACCAGTGGAGCTAATCCATATCGGGTAGAGACAGGTATCTACCTCAGTACAATCGAAGATGGTCGCACAATTTCGTGGATTGGTTGATGTTAAACACTAACAACATTGGATGCCGGCTCAGGGGTTAAGCGTTCGCGCGCGAGACTGAAAGCCCTGGGTTCGAAACTCGCTCGCGGGATCGTGGATGCGCACTGCTGAGGAGTCTCACAATAGGACGAAATGGCCGTCCAGTGCTCCCAGGTTTCCAAAGGTGGTGGTCTAACATCAATCGGTTGATGATCTCAATCGAAAAATTGAAATTTATCATGAATTATATAATTTATATTATAGATTGGGTTTTTAGTTATACAACTATTAGAAACTAACAAAAATTGGATATATATTTTGTTCTAGTAATAAAAATTCTTGGTATCAGTATATATATATATATATAATCTTTAAGTTTCATAACAAGGTTTTAAACTTTAAACCATTGGGTCACATCTTGAATTGAGTTTTTTACATTGATAGTTCATTAATAATAAATTATTGTTAGAATGAGGATTTGTGAAAATCATCGATATAAACTAAACTACTTTGGAAAACCAGGAAGCATTGGACAGTCGTTTCATCCTATTGTGGGACTCCTCAAAAGTGTATATTTACGATCCTGCTTGCACTGCTCGAAATCAGAAACTTTGGTCTCATGCATGAATGCTTAACATCTAGACCACTGAACCAGCGTACCATGGTGTTCATATTTAACTTCAAGCAATTCACGATATTGTGTGACTGTTCTCCATGATCTTCTGTGGATGACTGTTTCATACTCGACACAGATTAGACTCTAATGGTCATGGCTTCTTACTAGAACTCCGAGAATTACCTCTCGAAGCTAATCACTAGTGAACACATGATAATTATTGTCAGAATGAGGATTTGTGGAATCGTGCATGAACGTTGATTCACACGGCTAATGAGTCCCATACTAGGACAAAACAAATGTCCAGTGTTTCCAGGGTGATCTAGCTTAAATCAACTCATGAATTCAACCATTAAATAATAATTTATATGACGATCTATAAAAAAACCTTCATTTTCATAGTTTAAATAATAATCTGATCATTAAAATGTTTCTAATATATTAGCTGATAATAAGAAGTTAAATATGAATCCTGTTTATTTTCTCATTGGTGAGGATGCTAGCAGTAGTAAAATGTTCTTTCAAATAATATTTCATGTTTTCTGATATCCAACATTTTAAGACATGCGATAATTTTATTGATTTATATTGTACATAAGTCATAGTGCGATAACATTAAGAGATAGTACATCCGAATATTATAAAATGATTGTTATGCCCCAACAAGAATAATGAATGGTAACTTTTGGGATCTATTTATGGACCAATACTAAATGTATCTTTTTATCGTATAATTGTTAAATAACTAAACTATTCATATTCATGTCTCTCTTATCATAATCTTTAGTTTGACCTATGAACTATTATTATACGTTTTACCATTCTTGAGTTATACCCAGTATATTAATTACTACCTCCTTCATTCACAGCCACATCTGGCTAATTCTTGTACAAATGTTGTTTCGTATTTTATTGGTACGTTGTGGTCTGTTTGATTGGTATATAAACTCAGTATGTTTGAAATATAATGATTAATATTGCAGAGGCTGAGATTGGTGTTCTGGACTTAACTGGCTGAACTAGGCGGAAAGCAGGACCAATCAGGACTCTAGGCTGCTCGCACGTGTTTTACGCGTCCTTGGTCCGATCGATAATCCACTGCTCTCTAATCGGCGGTCACAAGTTATAACAATGTTATTGTCATGACTTTCTGCAAAATTAAGCTTGTTTTAATTAGAAATGTTATGAAAAGAAATTCAAGAAATAATAGTTTCTTAATGTAATAATAAACTGAAAGCATTGACTATTTCACATGAATAACTGGGTTTTTTTTTCAAAATTGAGACAAACATTTGAAAATGGATTAGTTCGAAGTAGAACTTCTCAAGTGAACAGTCTCACTTTACAAGCAAAGATGGATAATGGCTAGCAATAGAATACAGGATGCATGCTATCTTGTTCTATTTGGGACTCGTCAGGTGAATTTATCTGCATCTCAGAGTTGATGTTCACTCTGGGACTCGAACCCAGTACCGTTCGATTCAAACACTTGTGAATTAAGTCAATATCGAGGTAATATGTACAATATACACATATGCTAATAAGAGACTGATCAATTGCACTCCTAAACATCAATAGGCAGATTCAAGTAAACAATACCAAGTGGATTTAATCTCAATTTACTTCTTTTAATAAAGAAATACATCAGAGCTGATATAATTATCTATGGAAAAAATAGAACGATTCATCTAGAAGAGATATTGTTTTCATTAAACCATACTTTCTTGTTTTATCTTTCAATGATTATAACATATTGTAACCTACTGTGAGTCTTAAACTGATTCATACATCAACTATGCAGAGAAACAATGTAAGATAAATCAAATTATTATTCAAAACCATATTTACATATGCGAACTCATGTAAATTACATGTTCTATATATATTGTGACTTTTGCCGGGCTAATTATCACGTGATTTACTCACCAATCAGATTACGACCTATACAATCTTAACACTGCCAAACCAATGACATATTGACCGGTATGTGCAACCTACTGTCCTTATTGACCCTTTTCTTGCCAAGCCCTGCCTGTTGAGGCCATAACGCCAACAATAACTGCCATTGTGCAAATTATATATTTCAAACATACTTGGCTTATATACAAATCAACTAGATGACATTACACCATAAAATATAAAATAACAATTATACAAGATCAAGCCAAAAAGTGGCTGTGATTGTGGGATACGGTAATTAATAAACTGGGCATAATTTAAGAAATGTAAATCGTATAATGATAATCTATAAATCAAAATAAAGCTTATCATAAGAGGAATATAGATATACATAATCTGGTTACTGAATAGTTATACAATGTATATATGTATATAGATTAATAGTAGTGTCAACTTGTTTAAGGTTATTTAACCAACTTAAATACTTACAATCAATAGCCAGTTTACACAGTTATTACCATTTGCATTAACTCAAAAACATTACTCTTAAACCTGAGATCATGCTTAGAATCATATAAAAACAGTCTTTAAATACAATTTCAAAAGGTTTATCGCAAGATCTAAAGTTTAACGTGTATAATATCTTTCTACTTTCAATTACTTCAGTAAAGCGATTGATGAAAGAGGTTACAGTAAATATTTACTCATAGTTATTGGCTTAGAATAGAAATATTATAAAATATGGTCAATTACAGAAACAAACAACAGCTCCATGTAGTAAATCAAATCTCGCGAGGCGGGATCGTGGATGAGCACGGCTAAAGTGTCCCATAATAGAATGAAACAGCCCTCCAGTGCTTCCAGGTTTTCCATGGTGGTCTAGGTTCAATTGACTCATGATCTCAATTATTGAAATTACTATAATATCCACGAAAAACCCCCCTTCTGAATATAAATCATTAATATATTTATATACATATTCTTGTTTCTGTTCTATTTATTTTTAGGATTGTGATCCTGGTCTTTTAGTGGAATTAGTACTTAAACTTCAATTACAAGTATTTTCACCAGGTGATTATATATGTCGAAAAGGTGATATTGGCAAAGAAATGTACATAGTTAAACGTGGTAAATTAAGTGTAGTATCTGAAGATGGTAAAACTGTATTTGTTACACTTGGTGAAGGTTCTGTATTCGGTGAAATATCTATATTAAATATAGCTGGTAAGTATATCATTATATTTGATATGTGAAATTAAATCATTCTGTTTTATAAATCTTATATTAATTACTGCTGAGAAAGTATTATTATCTAACTTTTACTTATGATAGTTAACTTATTATGTTATATCCCAGTGAAGATTAAATTACTGGTAACTTCTGAGACCTATTAATGGACTAATATTATATATATAGTATAACTATTCAGTAACTAAATTATGTATATCTATATTCCTCTTATTATAAGCTTTATTTTGACCTACAGACTATTATGATACGACTTACTGTTCTTAAGTTATACCCAGTTTATTGATTACTATCTCCCACGTTCACAGACACATTTTGGCTTGATCTTGTATAAATGTCATTTCCTATTTTATCGTTTGATGCGATCCATTTGGTTGGTGTATAAACCAAGTACGTTTTAAATAGATGACTCACGTAGTGGAAGTTGTTACTGATGTTCTGGACTCAGTTGGAAAGGCTAGGCGAACAAAGGACCAGGAAGGACACTAGGCTGTTCATACCGGTCGAACGTTATCGGTTTGGCACAGTGTGAAGATTGAATAAGTCATATTTCGATTGACGAATAAATCATGTGATAACTAGCCGGGTTTAAAGACACAACACATTAAATATGTGATTAAAGCAAGTTATAGTAGAAAACCTATTAAAACATTTAAGGGCAAAACACTTTGTTGACATTCAGGCTTCTTTAGAAATCTGCCATGACATTTACAATAAGTGTAAATTAATTATATATTTTTAAGTGACCAATAAACCAATCCTGTAAATGGAATTTTACGCATTATATGTCAGCATGAACTGTGCACTCTGGATTCGCCCGTTAACCTCTCTCTGAAAGAATGAATTATATAATAATCACAGTTTATATCATTTCGTTTAATCCCAATTTTTTGAGACAGCAGTCAAAGTAAGTGTATAAACTTACTGTACGGTTTAAATAATTTCATGATCTAGCAAGCATAACCACTTAGTTCTAAAAACTATTGTATGTAAACATGCTAGTGAAATTTAATGTCAGTCAACCATACTTGGTAGAATATAGCTATACACTGATATGACTGAACTTCAAACATTTGTTTAAAGACCTGGAAGCGCTGGAAGGCCGTTTTGTTCTAGTATGGGACTCCTCAAAAGTGCATATTTACGATCCTGCATGCACTACTCGAAATCAAAAACTTCGGTCTTACGCATGAATTCTTAAGATCTAGACCACTGAACCGGTGTTCATATTTAACTCCAACCAATCCACGAAATTGCGTGACTATTTTCCATTATCTTCGGTGGATAACTGCCTCACACTTGACACGGATTAGACTCTAATGGTCACGACTTCTCACTAGCATTCCGAGAATTACCTCTCGAAGCTAGTTGCTGATGAGTACATGGTAATTATCGGTATGGAATTGTGGAGATTGTTAAGTTTTTGATTGAGATCATGAATCAACCAATGTTAGGCCACCATTTCAAACTTGGAAACACTAGATGGCCGTTTCGTCCTAGTATGGGTCTGGTGAGCAATGAGCATCCACGTAAAGGCCGTTCAGTGCACCCAGGTTTTCAACAGTGGTTTAACACTGAACGATTCATGATCTCAATCAAAATATCAACAATCTTCACAACCTCATAATGAAAGTTTCAAACAAATTCCTATTCAATAATTTATGTCTTTATTAGTTTTTGACATACAATTTCTTGTCTAAATATAACTGTTCAGAAAATTTATTGACTTTTGTTAATAATTAATAAAGATATGATCTAGAATATTTAACAGTAAATATATCTTAGGATTTTTATTTATTCTAACACCCCACAGTCATCAATGTTTTAGGGAGAAGATACATTATCAATATCACAAACTGATCCAATTTAGACAATCATTAAAACCAAGAAGCACTGAACAGCAGTTTCCTCCTAGTATGATACTACATAGCTGTCTCTCGACAAACGTTTGATCCTTAGACCACGGGGTCGATATCTAGTGGTTTAGATTGATAACTTCAGTCAATTCGTGCAATATAACGGATTGATTGAGCTAAAAGTTGTGAATTACTGGAGTCTAACTCATCTATCCAGATGTAATGCACAAACCTCAAGGTTTGAAGGATTCGACATATTCTGTTAATGGTATCATTAGAGCCTACTACATTGGGTTTGGGAGCATCAAACTACGACAAAAACTCTGCCTATTACCCTCCTCCAATTTTCATCTTTTGGCTACTTAAAGTTGGCCTATGATGTAGATAAACTTCAACTTATAAAGTCTTCACATCTGAAAAATATTTGCTACTTTAAGTCATAACTGTTCTCTTATACATAAGATAGATGTTTGTTATGAATTACATTTCATCTTTCGTTTTATTTAGAGTTAAGCAATATGCAACTCCGTACCGCCCATAACATGAATTATTTGATATAACTAAATTAGATAATGAATAGTACTTCTGGATTACACAAAAATTATATTCAACTTAAAATACAATGTTACCAATGTTACCTATTACGAATCGCAACACAATTTACTAATTAAGCAAAGATGAATAGTGGCTAGCAGTGGAATCGAGGACGCCCGCCATTTCGTGCTATTTGGGACTAGTCAGCTGGATATATCCGGAGTGAACATCAACTCTGGGATGCAAGTACATCCAGTTGACGAGTTCCAAATAGCACGAAATGGCACGTGTCCTGGACTCCACTGCTAGCCACTATCCATCTGTATTTAAGAAGCTTGTGACTCAAGGCTATATCGAGACAATCCGCACAAGATGCATATATGTCAACAAGAGACTGATCAATTACAGTCCTAAATAACAATGGGAAGATACAAATAAAACAACACCAAGTGAATTCAATCTACTAATTATTTAAAATTCAAATGGAATTTTTATGTATGCATAGAGTTATTAAGCATCTATACAGTGATTAGCAATATGATTTGTTGGAATACTTCGGTTGTGTAGTTTTAAATCCAATTTTCTAAAATCTCCAAACTGCAATTATCTGAATTAGATCAATCATGAGATCATCTGATCAATGTTTAGTTTCTGATTTCTAGTTGTGTGTGTTTTCTTTTTCTTTTTCTCCTTATCATTATTTCTTTTAGGCAATAAAACAGGTAATCGTAGATCAGCAAATGTACGATCTGTTGGTTATTCTGATTTATTCTGCCTTAGTAAAGATGATCTTTGGGATGCATTAACTGAATATCCAGAAACTAAAACAATACTTATGCAACGTGGTCAAGATATATTACGTAAAGATAATTTATTAGATGAAGATGTATTACGTAAAGCTCAAGAACAACAAGAATCAATTGAACAATGTGTTCAACGTATTGATGGTACAGTAAATCAATTAACAACACGTTTAGCTAGATTAATTGGTGAATTTGGTGCTAGTCAAGCAAAATTAAAACGTCGTTTAGCTAGATTAGAACAAGAATATGATATGAATTCATCATTTTTAGTACAAGATAATAATAATAACATTCCTAAATATAGAAAATATAGTGAACAACTAACAAATGATAGGCAATTACAAAGTAATACACAATTAGAATATAATAGAAAATCAATTCAAACAATAAAACAAGGTAGTAAATTGAAAATTAATCAAAAACAACATAATATATCTAATAGTAGTTCAACATCATTATATGATAAACGTGAATCATTAAGTTCATTAGGATCTAATATAACAAATGAAACATTACCTTTTGTACAAGATGATGAATAGATTCATAACGAATATATAGCGAGACTATAATATATGGACAAATCAATGAGATATAAAATAACACATCTTGGATATTGACATGAAATTCACTTATCCATTTGAATAAATATAGAGTTTTAGCATTATAGCTAATATCAGATCGTAATGAAAACCTGAAATCTAATACCTAAGCTTAATTACTTACTCACTTACGCCTGTTACTCCTAATGGAGCATAGGCCGCAGACCAGCATTCTCCAACCCACTCTGTCCTCGGCCTTCTTTTCTAGTTCCATCCAATTTTTGTTCATTCTTCTCAAGTCTATCTCCATTTCCCGGCGTAGTGTGTTCTTTGGTCTTCCTCTTTTCCTTTGGCCTTGAAGATTCCATGTGATGGCTTGTCTTGTGACGCAGTTGGGTGCTTTCCTCAACGTGTGTCCTATCCTCTTCCAGCGCTTCTTCCTGATTTCTTCCTCCCTAAGCTTAATTATCAACTGTAAATTATAATTATAATTCTTCACACAGATTTATAACCGTCATTTAGTCCTGGTTATGAAGTGGATATTCTCAAAGTCATTCTGGAGTTGCTTAAAAGCCCTACATAAATTATAGTCTCATCGATTTTTCTATTTCAGTAAATATAATAATAACCATAGATTAACACAATGACATACACTATTCTATTTCTTGTCAATATTACATGGAAATGATAGTAAACTTTTTTTTATTTTAATGTATTAACATTTACGTATCGTATTGATTGTGAAAAGAAATTACTTTGTTTACTGATTTGTACTAAGTTTTAGGTCAGCCATTACCTTGTGACAGATTATCTTCAAATTATGTAATTGACTATTGAATGTAATTATATACGTGTGTGTGTGTATGCCAGTAATTGTTTTATTCGTTCGTTTCTTTTTATTAATAGACATATCTAAGCAAAACTAGGAAATAAAATATACATGAATAAATAATTAAGATCAGAAGGGGATTTTGTGGATATTTTAGTAATTTCTAATAGTTGAGATCATCAGTCAATTGAAGCTAGACCACCATGAAAAACCTGGAAGCACTCAACTAATAAAAATTACTATAATATCCACAAAAAACACTTTTGATATTAATCAACATATGCTCCCTAGTGACTGGCTTCATGAAGTATTTCCTAGAGTTCTAGTGAGATGCAGTGAGCAGTGGAGTTCAACCGGGTCTGTTGTGAGATAGTAACCCACTGATGACAACGGCGGATGTGTCGCTCAATTTCGTGGATTAGTTAAAGTTGGATGCCGGCTCAGTGGTCTAGAGTTTATGCGTTCGCACACGAGACCGATAGGTTCCGAGTTCAAATCTCGCGATGCGGGGTCATGGATGCGCACTGCTGAGAAGTCCAACAATAGGACGGAACGACCAGGTTTTCCATAGTGGTCTAGCTTCAATTGACTTGTAGTGTGGCGTCGAGTCGAGGTTGACTATGATCACCACTACAAGTTGAGCGCGTACCAGAAAAATCAGAAGGCGAAAGGAGATTGTAACGAGATTTATTCGTTGGCGACCTCGTGGTATCGGAAGTATTTTAAGATCGTGCCAAAAGAAATACAAGTGGGATCAATGGGCGAACGTGCGAGTGTACAGGGTCACAGTCAACGGAAGAATAATGAAGGAGCAATGGATGTCATTAGTACAGTTAAACAAACGAGCACAGTAAAACAAACACTGGTACAATTGGTTATAATAATGATTGTTTCTATTAAGCCAATAGCGTTCTCTTGATAAAAGTAGGTCACTACAGACTCATGGTCCCGATTATTAGAAAGGTTAAGAGCCATTATAAGGGGTGTATTTTTAAAATTGGTATTGTAAGACGGAACACGCTTGAATGCTACCTATGGCCATCAATTTGAATAGTAGGTTACAAGCAATATACAGTTTACTATAAAGTCTCACTAGAAATTAACATTTGACTTTAGAAAAACAAAAAGAATCTTATTTTTTACAACTAAGCAAATTAAGTGTTTAAAATGAGAAAAAACATCGTATATCTGCGTAGGATGAAACTTCACTGGATGGTTAGATAGCTTAATGATGATTTCTTTCACGGATTACTAGTTTAGCTATTGAAGACAAATTTGGAGTGGTATTAAAATACTCTTGATATGATCTTACACTAATAAGGCCGGTAATCTTTTGTTTGTTGGTAGCTTTCAAACACATTCTCCTTATTATTGTATCCGTTTTTAGTCATATTTATATTCTCTAAAAGAAAGTTGGATTTCCTAGATAGGGGTTTAAAATCGTGCTGGTTGTTTGTGGCGGTAAATAAACTCACAAGATCAATAGCTCTGGAAGTCTTCTATATTTGATGCCGACTGCTTTAGTTTCACTGAACTCAAATAGCTGAAGGCACTCGCTTACCCAGCCGCACCAGATAACGAATGAGTATGCCGTGCTACGCATCCCTTTCAACTACTAGCCAGCATAGACCAAACGTTCTTTCGACATACCGATAGCTTTCTAAATATATCTTCGAATTTATTCATTCCTGACTTCTGACTCGACTGGGTTAGCATACTTCGTCTGCAAAGGTATTAGTGGTTAAAGCGTTGTCAAACTCCGAATATTAGTGGCATCTTTAAGGTTATAATTTATGTAAAATAATGGCAAGGTGAATGTTTTTAGCTGCCTATAGGTGATATATTTCACTGAATAAAATTTTTCTGCACCTCTTTAATATCTGAACTAATATTTCAAATTTCTAATGAAAGTGTGGCTAGGACGCTTTTAATTTCGCAAATACAGTGACTGGTGACTAACTGAGAATAGCTGGGTTCCTATTTTACTTCGAACACTTTTTCTTTTTAACAAGTAATCGATTTCGGATACTTATCTCGTTAATGGCTGGATTGCACAAGCTATTTATTACAGAACATGAATCACATAACCTAGGGTTGAAAATGTTTATGTATTTTGTGTATTTTCGCACTTTAAACCTACATTTATTTTACTACCCAACCACTGTTTTGATATCGTCATGCTGATATTATGAACTCTAGGAATTTCAAACGTTATATTTATACTCTGTGGTATTTGTGCTAACTGATGATTCTTTTGTACTTGATTGCGCGTGTATTACGAATTTCAAGTATAATACATCTATTTCAGCTCATCTAATTCTACTTGTTTTAAATAGCACTATTTCGGAAATTCTTGGTTGGCATATTGATTTTAATACCTTTAAATATAAAAATTGAGTCACAACGGAGACAAATTTTTAACGGTTGAATGCTAATGCAATCAGAGATAACTTTGGAGAATACATAGAGTACCTCGCAAATAACTAGAAAATATATTAAAGACGATAAATTTGCAGCTTATTTCCTGAAATTGATCGGCAAAGAGTCTCATAACCTGATTAAGAATTCGGCTTTCCCAGAAAAACCAATATCATAGTCATGCGAATCTCCCAAGTAATTACTGCTTAATCATGTCCAGTGTCCTTGTTTTAAATGCCTAAAGAGATTGAAGTTTCATAAGATGGTGCGACAAAATGATCAGGACGTTAAAGACCATTTACTTGGAATACAGAAATAAACGAGGAAGGGCAATTTTGATAACTGAATTTTGTAATCGATTGATTGCTGGGATAAGTATTCCGGATTTAGAAGGAGAAATAACTCAGAAACCTCAAAGCTCATTCCATGAAATTAAAACGTGATGTATTAACTAATAGGCAATGAGTGGGTTTGATTTCCAGTCGCCGAAAGTTTCTGATGCTTTGTTTAGTCGCCGAGATAAACTATATTCTGAAAGTCACTCAAGCTCGCGTTTGGTTAATAATCGTTCCTACTTTCATAGAAGGATGAAAGATGAAGCAGGTTACAGAGGTGAACACAAGTGTGGTATAAGTTTATCCTGTAGTAAATTCTACTTACGTAATTCATGAGTCTTTCGTCTACTTATTGCTTCAAGTTGTAGTGTCAGTTACTATGTTAAGCCCATATACTGTATTCTAACTTTCGGACATCCCATTCTATTCATTCTACTTGAGTCATACTTTGACCTTGTTATTTATTCGCTCATCAATCTAGACTGTTTTTATATGAGCGTACATGTGTGTGCCCTTCTTATTCCATTAATCACATGTCTGTAGCTTTATTTTGTCTGACTATAAATATTGAGTCACGCTTGACTAATGGGGAGTTGGCTTACCAGCCATCTCCACTGCGCATCATTTTTACTTGGCTTCACCGTGTGCTTGCTTGCTGTACGCCTGCGGATTTTTATTAATCATTAACAATAAATTATCTCTACAAATGGTGTTCAGGCTTTTGAATAATCTCGAGTAAATCCGTAATTCTATTAGGAGATTAGGCCTACCTTATATACTCAGTTAACGGGATATTATTTATCGGAGTCAGATATAGAGGACATTAGCCTCAACAAAGTATAGTAAAGTGAAACACAACAAGTTGGTTCGTAAAGCTACTTTTAATTTCGTCAATAATGTTTGTAAACCCTATGGTTCATGAAGGTGTGTGGTTCTAAATATCATTTGTCTTTATCCACCATTTCGAAAGGTAATTTTTATATTCTAAAGCAATTACACATCTACTTCCATTCATTTCATGAATTATTGTTGACACAGGTCGTGTAGAGTCCATTATTTCATTTAAGAACTTGCAATCCTTAGATTTTAACCTTGTAGTGGGACCCAATAAAGTTCCAGTATTAGAGATTACTGGGCACAAAGTGCTCACATGAGGATGCTGGAAACCGCTATTGAGAGGTGGTATTTCTTTACACCTCCTTACGAAGATTTAGTTAATGAAATAGGACGATCAATACCGAGTTTGGACAATTTGAAGGGGCTTACAGTGGATGTGTTTTTATGGGTTTCCAAAAAGGTCTCGTGATTTACTTGTAGATTTGATAGCTACAGGTGCTGCATGCAGTGGAGGGATGACAATTCAGCCTATAAGACTTCAAGTACAGAGTGATTCAGCCTTTCTAAAAAGACGAATAATTCGTTGTGGTCTTTGAGAAACAATACATCATACATTAGACAATTTGCGTGCAAAAAGCATAATTTATTCGATTCAGTCTTCAGAATGGGGTACTCCTATTTTCAATCCATTGAAATCTGATAGGATGACCGCAAGAATATGTACTGATGACTATAGATTAACACTGAACTCATTTGTTGAAGTAAACATGCACGAAGGTGAAAGCTGAAGATATTTTGAGTCGAATTTGTGGTTCTAGGGTGTTTTTAAAGTTGACTTAAAATCCACTGTTTTTACTGGTCATGAAGCCTTAAATTTCATTTATCATACAGATCTCGACGAAGAAATTTATAGTGGGTATATTGGTGTTGTGGAAATGAAGTCCTTGGCAAATTCACATATACGCCGCACAATTGTGAGAAATGTCATAAGTCGAAAAGTCATCCTTCGAAGTGGACTCCGTGGCCAGTATCTTCTGATGCCTGTCAGAGAATTAATACAAACTACCGTGGTCCATTTCTCAACTAATACCATGCACTTGTCATTGATTCTTTTTCTCAGTGACCTGACGTTTTCTTCACAGCTTCTCCGAATTCCGAGTTTACAATTCAAGCACTAAGAAAAGTTTTTGGTCGGGAGGGGATTCTTACGGTATAAGTGACTGATGACGGTCCATATTTAGCTGCAAACGCACTCACCACCCGGTAAAATGATAGAGGGTTCAGACGTCCAATCACTGATGTCATACACACGTGTTTTCATGGTTAGGAGAAAAATTTCCCCAGGACATCGATAACTGTTATTAATTCCATCGTTGCTGCAACATTTGATGAACTGTGGGGGGAGAGTAGACACACTATAACTCCAATAAGAAAATGCTAAACATTCTGTGACGAAAAAGACTTCACCAGAGTTATAAGAAAAGAAGGATACCTCGTTCGAATATCAGGTGTTTAGAAGCTACAGATGTTACATATTATCGTTGGAATGATCTTCGACAAACGGAGGAGCTTGTGGTGAAGAACGTTGAAAAACCTATGGTTCGAATTCTATATACCAATGATTTATGTACACCCAACCGCCATGTTGATTAAATACAGTGCCAGGAGCCGCATGAGTCTGTTCTAATTTCCGTTGTTGATTCTTGTTCTAAAGAGTATATTCTAGATCATACAGAGGCTACATCTTATACACGGTTGGACAGACACTCGAAGAAATTAGACCACAGAAATTCTGACGCTCACTTAGTTTACGGTGGTTATGGTATTTGTGCCAACTGATGATTCTTTTGTACTTGATTGCTCGTGGATTACGAATTTCAAGTATAATACGTCTACTTCAGCTCATCTAATTCTACCTGTTTTAAATAGCACCATTTCGGAAATTCTTGATTGGTACATTATTCGAGTACTTCTAGATGTCATGTATTTTCTTTAAGATGAAGCAGTGATGCGAAAACATTGTATATTGCCAGTCAAAAGATTTATAGAAACGGAGATTGCTATTCCTTAGAAGACATTAGGCAGTTCACCAATCAATTAACGACTAATTGAATCTTAAAAGTACAGCTAACTCCACAATACCAAAATTAAAATTTGTCAACCCATCAGGCTCTTCATGACACGTTAGCCACTAGTAATGCTCTTCGAATCGGAATGTATTTGAAGATAAACATAGTTGCATGCAAAATACTTCATTGAGCTCAGAATTACGAAGAAGTGATTTCTAAAAGCGCTCATCGATACTTAACACATGTCAAAATACTAAGCTGTACTTAATCAACATATACTCGCAGACATGAAAAAATGACTTTTATCCACCCATTAGCACACAATCTTGACATATAATTGCATAAACACCAAATATTGGATCATGAAGATGTAGGTCATATATTGGCACAACATTAAACTGCCATCCTTGACCTTGGTCTTCTGTGAGTTTCCACATATCCCGGACATTAATGTCGGAAAATTAAAAAAACCTACTCTTAGTCAGTTCGGAATAGAATAAGATGTCACTAGACTTTTCAAACAGACAGTCAGACATGTACTAATAAAGTCATTCATAGGAATATATATTCGGCCGCTTTCATGCAAAGCACAAACTTTTTACGGTACCGGAGTAAGTAATTCCTAGTTTGATTCATAAAAAATTAAATCTATTTCCATCACACACTCCACCTCTCACTGTAGCTGCAACTTTATGTATGTATACATACTGTTCTCATGTAACTACAGTCCTCTGAACAACTCAGGATTGCTATAGTCCGCACAAAATAATAAGCATTACATATTTTCTTTCATCTCAACATCTTAATTCTGTCGGGTAAACACATTTTGTGAGTTCAAGGAAAGTTGAATAATAAATGTCTGTTTGTACCAGTGCACAATATCTCTTATCATTAATTACCGTTAGTTATCTCACTTTTCCAAGAGTGCTACAAAATTTCCAAAAGTATCAAATTGCTACTTAGAATGTTTCGCTAGTTAACCTATTAAAACACGGGCCTTCGGCTTTTACATCACTTTTTGTTCCATAATGTCTATCTAACTCAATTCGCTACAACCTTTTAGTTGATGATTGAACTCACCATTATTCAAGTCCGAATTCTCATCTTTCGAAGCGTCCACAGGAATAGCGAAATGTCAGTCGACTTTTTTCTCCCATTAAAAGTCTCCTTGACGGGTGGTGTTGTGAACATAATTAAGAATGTTGAGATAATTCGTCTGAACATTTCAGATTTTTGGTATTGTTTCAAGTGTTCCAGTGAATCATCAAACATTATTTTTTTTTAAAAACACGAACATACGATGGTATTACGTTTACTTTTTTTGATAATTTCGTAAATTATTCTGTATCTTTGTTTTCCAGCCAAATTCCTAAATCGACTCCACATTAACTGTATATACGTTTTAAACATGGTACTGACTCCAATATTTCGCCTAGAACAAGATGAAAAAAAACTTAAGGTCATCATTCATGCTCCACTAGCTAAAATATCTGAAATGGAAGTATGCGTTGAAGAACAAACTTTTTATTTTGACTCCTCCCCGTACTATCTCAAGTATGGCCTCAATTGTTTCTCATTGATGTATTTAGATTCGATATTCCAGGTTCTGTATTAACGGATGAAGATACTTTTGACTATGAGCTCATCGACGGTGATATACACGTTACATTGGAGAAGTCTAAACCAGGACTCTTCAAGGATTTAGATTTAATCACAAAATTGTTGATAACTTCGTCTGAAACAAAGCTGTCCAAGTGTTTGATTGAAGAATTGAATGATACTGTTGAACAACAAAAGTGTTGGTCGTTGGACTGGTTTAGCGATTCAAAAAGTATAAGTTCAACGCCAGAAGATGTGGTTCTTTCTAACCCAACTTATGGTTTTAGTGGTTCCAAATCTGGACTGTTCCAAGTTGAGGTAATGTACTTCCTTTTCAAATTGATACTCAAGTGGTAACTCTATCAGAGACCTAAGCATGTTTCGCAAGTGTATATCTGTCAGTTAACTCATAACAAAGAAAATCCAAGTCAATCAACTAATTTATATATATATATATATATATATATATATATATATATATATATGATTAGAGGTTCTTCGTAGATATGGTTGCAGGCTACTTTGTTGGAGCCTCCACTAGTAAAACGACCAGTGGTTGAAGATTTTCGGCGGCATGGTTCAGAATCAGTCACAATAGCGCAAATAAATTTACTCTTCATTGCTTCAAATTGAAAGTTGTAACACTATTTTCCACTTTGTTTCATACATTCATTTCTTTCCCAAACAATGTCACCCATGCCTTATCTTTTCTACTAGCCTTGATACTGTAAATGCCCTTAAGACTCCGGCATAGTTCTTGATGATTTCATCTCACTTTACTGATTTGATTTGGCTAGTTAAACCAATACATATATGTCCCCGGTTCTATGTTGTTTATGACTAACCGATTAATTAGAAAGTCACATTAACGTAATGCCATTTTCTTAAATATACCTCGTTTAACATCCTCTCTTGTTTTCCAACTTTTTTGAAAATGCTACTTAGTCTGATTTAACACATGCAGTGGATCTGCCTCATCCAGATTCCGTTGATGTTTTCAAACGATCAGAGCTTAGAAAAGTGGATGAAGAGAAGAAATTTCTTGTCGATCATTATCTGTGAGTTTTTTTATGGGTTTCTTCACCTGCTTACTGCTGAAAAATATGACAAAACAGTCTATTACACAGAATAAAATATATTTTATGGTAGCGTATATCAACAGACAAATATTATGCAACATTACTGTGTGGAAAATGCATTCGAAAATCATCCAGGAAAAATGAATAAAAAGTACTAAAAGATAGATAAAAACAGAGAAGCTAGGTTTCGTTCCGTTAGTAAGTACATTTTACCATTTATAGGACAAAACCAGATTATCACTGGCTTTAACTTTAAGCTGTATTAAATTCCTAAGTTGCTGAGTTGTAAAATAATTCATAAAACTCCATCCATACCGTGATAGGTAATCAATAGACTGATGTAACGAAATTCAGCAGCAACATTCAAAAGTTCAGTTGTGCTATTGAATAATTACTAATATGGACTGTAATTTTTTGGTTTTAATCTTCCTACAATTATTTATATCTAGTTGATCTTGGTGAAAAATATATGGCCTAAAATTTCAAGATGGTTTCTAGTATTTTACTGAACTCACTAACCGATCAAAGCTAGACACTCATTGAAAACCTTAAAACAATGGACGGCCGTTTCATCCTGGTATGAAAGTACACGGAAGTGCGCATCAACAATCCCAACACTGATCTAGAAGTTAAGGGTTCTTGTACAAGACCAAAGACTCTGGCTTCGATTCCCGCGTGCGGAGTTGTGGATGCACACTGCTAAGGAGTCTCGTACAAAGGTCCAGAGCTGTCATGTTTCCAATAGTTGTCTAATTTTGGTCGACCTGTGATCTTAGTGAAATTCAACAATCTTCATAGCCGTCTGCAGATAGTTTCTAGCAGACTAATACTATTATGCTATTCAATTTCCCTGTTTTTCAAGAAGGAGTTGGAAAAAACTGGGTTAATTCAGTTGTCAGACGAACTTAATTGATTTATTTAGCGTTCAAACCTTCCCTGTTTTAGATAAATGTATTTTGCGAATGGTTTTATTAGTGAGGTTTCCTTATGAAAAACTTTCTCTTAAATGCCCAGAAAAAAATCTGGGGAATACAGTTTACAGTTCTTTTCAATGTGTATGTTACTTTTGATTGGTCCAGTTTATCCACCAGGGCAAAATTATCTAATAAATTCATTTTTCAGGCACAAACTTGGGTCACCTTCTGAGTGTGAAGGTTAGTAGTTCTAGTCAATTACCCAAACCGAAGTAGGTGGTGCTGGATTCGGACATGCAGCTTGATGGATAAAAGTTGACCACCTAAACCAGTGAGCCATTGGTCCACTTAGATACCTCGTTTTCTTCCGTTTAATATGAAGTTGTAGAATTTGCTACCAATATGAATTCATGTCATAATTTTCATTCTAATCAAGACTTAAATTTGTTCGTTTGTATACTAGTAGCTATGAGAATTGTCTATCGCCACGTAGCCATAACTTTTAAATCTCTCAATGATAATTATCAAAAGAAAACAACCATTCTCTATCATGGTACAATAATTATATATGCCTATCCATATATACCTAGCAGCTGAGAGTCTTTTAACTTTAAGCGATCTCCAATAAGTTTAGTAAACCTTAATGCATTTGGTGCGGTCGAGGCAATCGAGTATAACATTTCTAACCTTCACTATTTTATTCGAACATCCCGGAAATTTAATTGTTTTCAACTTTCTCAACAATTAAATCACTTAAACATTTATCATTCGACTAGGATCCATCATCCATCGATGAGCGTTTGACCCACCATTTTAACAATTGGCATGTGTTTATAGTGCTACCCTCCTTCAAAATAAATGATGAACCTGGCTACGCCTGTTTTTTACCTTCATTTCCATCTTATTTTGTTCATTTTTCTGTATTATATTCAGTAACTAACATCACTGTCGATCATTTTTGAGCAGATTATCTATAATGTCCCTTCATTATTGTGTGTTCTATTTCTAAGTATTTAAATAAAACTGTAATATTTTATTTCGTTTATTATTTTAATTCTGTTTACTGAATATTTTGACAATAACCTTCATCTCCTATGTATTTATTAAAAAAATTGTTTATTTATGATGGTTTTCATATTTTACGTTTATAGTTCCCGTTTCTATTTGTTGACTATCATTGACACAGCCATTATCTGCTACTTAGTTTATCCTGTTTTTTTGTAAATAGTCTTTATATAACTATTGAAGAAACCAGTCCTTTTTCGATCGTATTCTGGTGCATGTATATGCTTCATAAACTTCACAAAATGAGGTTTTTTAGATGCATTGCTTATATTGTCATTAGTGTAATAGTACTACTGTATTGTAGACAAGTATCCTACATTGATTTCGAAATTGTCAACGTCATTCAATCGTTCGGTCTAAATGTTTTAACAGATTTAACATGTGATATAATTTCTTTTTAGAAGATCAATTTCCACAGTCATTAATATTCAATACTTGTTTTCTCTATTATTCATATTTGTTTCTGTTCTTATTTTCCTCTCCTTTTATAATCATGATTGACAAATATCAGTGCTGATTATTTCGAATCGGACTCTTGGATTCGTATGAAAAACATTGATTTACCATGGTCTATTAATAATAATACTAATAGTTTACCAGAATTCTCATCTGATGAACGTCATCGTCTAATCACTTTATCAACTCGTCGACTTCCTCTTCAACCTGATAATCCTTTAGAAGAAAAAATGATATATTTAGGCCTACTCGATCTATTATTTGCTTATATATATGATTACAGAGTTCGTGAAGGTGAGACGATGTCCGAATCCGGTTGGAATGTAGTGAAACTTGCAGCTACACTTTCATGGTTTGAGGTAATTTTCTTTGTCTTTTCTATTATTGTTATTCTTACTCTCCTCCCTTTCATTGTTGCATTATTAAGAGATTCAAATATATGTCACCCGGCTTCACAATCTGATACACTGCCATTGAGCTATTAGAATTTCAGGCAACTCTGTGTAGGATTGAGATATTTTAAATTGATTGTAACCAAAATTATGTTTGTCTAATATTGACCAATGTTTTGGAAAAAGCTTAACTTAATCGGACATAACATCTCTTTTTATCCCCGTTTTTACAGGTTTATCATTCCTTACCGGAAGTTGTTGTGTCATTCTATAGACGTGCTTTAACTTATCCCCTTGTACGAAGTTGGAGATTTTGCACACTTATCAAACGCGATGCTTCTTATCTTTTACAGCATACTAATAGTAAGGCTGATTATAATTCATATTCACTTATTCTTAATGATGAATTTTCTTCTCAAAAAATCTATCACAACTATTGGCTATTTATTGTTGGTTTTCATTGGTAATTTAGTTTCCAATAGCTTTAATATTATCCCCTAAAGATCTTAAGTCTTGATTTACTGGTCCAGTTACTTGACTATAAACTTATCGGTTATTGATTTGTATTGTACTATAATTACTGAAGTTGCAATTACAGCTTATTATGAAAATTTGTACGTATGGAGAGTTTTATAAAGTACCTATGGGAGAAATCTCAGGAATACAGCTTCTTTGAAATCTTTTATTTCTCATGAAGTAGACTAAGGTTGATCTGTAAGAACGGCCTTTGGTGAACTAAAGGAAGCTCTAAAGCGCTCAGAAAAAGCCGAAGACATTCCATCCAATCATCTTTTGGAAATAGCAAGAACAAAGATTCTATCAGAATAGCATGAATCATCTTTTGGAAGAACATTCCAGAATCCCGACGTGTAGCTTCCCGGTTGGACAAATGCCAAAAACCACTGCATGCGAATTGGACGACTGTAATGATGATTTTGTTTTTACTAAAAACTATAAATACCTGAGTGCGTTGTGCCATATTTGACACTGTTTGGAATAAGATTCCTTCCTACTCGTCTTTTGTTCTCTTACTTACAACTTGGAAGGTTCTGGCGTTTTAGTGCCCAGGTTTTACGCGGTATAGCAAGAATACAAGCTCTAGATATAATTTGATCAATAACGGGTCTTTAAATAACCACTTTAGAAGTTTATAAATTTCACGTAGATTCTTATTGTTTGATCCTCAAATGCATCATGATTTTAAAAAATACCCACACATTTTCCACTGTGTAAACATCAAAGTCAGTCCAGTTTCAATATACTTGTATGTAGAATCTAGCCACCTACTGATCCTTATGAGTATGAAGCACATACATATGTCCCAATCAACTGTTTTGGAGACAAAACTAGCTTAAAATAGTCACGTGCTTTGTTAATAACAAACTGAAATATAAGACGTGCTTATTCGTATTGTGACTGAAATTATGGCATTGAATTTTTCATCTGAAAAACCATTATGTATAATATTACCCATACAAGTCAAGATCATATTAAATGATCCTTCAACCTTTATGTATACCCACACACCTCATTATGCACATGTAATGGAGGCGTGAGTAGTGTTGAGGCAGTCCAATTCAATAAAGTCACATTTGTAACGTGGGTATATGAAGATCCGACATTGTTTCGTGAAGAAGGGAACGAAAGAGCAGAGCATGGAAATCAGAAGGTTAAAGCAACTTTTTTGAGATGAAGATGAAAAACCAGCTGGAATATGACCACGTGGTCAGCCAAGATCCCTGCAAGTAAGAAAACGAACAATAACCTTTCAAACAGACGTTTCACGGAAAACTTCTTCCTACGAATTCCATTAAAAAAGAAAGGGAGGTGATATGACGTGATTAAAAAGCGAAATTACATTCTGTTACTCATTATGGTTTCTGTTCAACATTACTTCCTTTTTAATTCAATGTAATGATTATTCAGTGTAGTATCGTTTTGTTTCCCAATATGATATTTTATCGGGTATAACATTAGTTTATTTGAATGTGATGTGTTTGTTTAAAATACGATAGATATTCTTGTATTAAATTAACGTTAATTACATTCAGTATGACAAGCAGCATGTGATTTGTTACAACTCTAAGTATTTTTCGTGTACGTGATTTTATCATTATTAATAATCAAAATGGGGTGTACAGTCAACATACAATGGGTATATTTTCGATTCAGGTCTTCTTCATGTTTTGGGGTTAATAAATCTCCACTTGTATCAGTCTTGGTGTTCTTACTTCGTTTCGTAGAGATTGAAATGGTTCCTGGTTTTTTTTCAAGTATAAGTAATAAACGGCGTGAATATAATAACGACAAATAAAGTCCCATTGTGTTACTCTTCTTATCGATTGGTTGAAGGGTAGGGATCGATTGTGGATTGTACAAATCGATGGTTTTTGTCACTGCGCTATTAAGTTTATCATTGGGAATGCGTATTCGTAGTATCTTATAGCATAGTGCAGTCGATAAACGTGTCAAATACATTGAAAATATTTGATCCAATAAAATTTGAGAATAATTCACTCTTTTGGTTACGATGCTGACAGATCTTTTAATTTTATAGATAATTCTGAACGGTGATTCTCGTGGCGACATGTGACCAAAGTTGACTGTGTTCAATAATTAAGCTGTTAACTTCCATTCTCCTATCCTTATTGGCAACCGAGGGCCACAAGAATCGTCGTTTAAGTTCACTTACGAAATCGAGAAATCGCCTCAATGGTTGTTTACATCAGAAATTTATACACTCCAGAAGCTATCGCAATTCATCCATGCAAACCTGACTTCTGGGTGTAAAAGAGTCATATTCAATCCATTATTTTGCCACATATCCTAATTAAGAATATATTATGAATGCTATTTCGTTTTTTTTTCTGAAGCAAATCAAATATAAAAACAGTGCAACTGTCCTCTCACGATTATTTCTTTTCCTCTCTTCTGACCTTTTATCTTTCCTTCTTTTCTATAGCCAAACAATGGTGTTTGAAGTGTCTATTAGAAATTCGTGAGTTTTTGGTCGCCTATCCTGGCTATCATGTATTCGCTGAATTATATCTAAATGATTATATTGTATGGATTCAGACGCGAGCATGGTTAGTTTTGTAAAAGTTCAATATGTTATTATCTGTCATGTATATGTTAAATCTCATAATTGATAGTTAATTCATTATCATACTATCGTTATCGCCTGAAAGCTCTGAGTTCGATACTTGATGGAGTTTTAGTTGCGTAATTCTGTGGAGTCTCATGCCCATTCGAAACAGCTGTCCAGTGCTCCCTGGTCTAAACAAGATCAGTCCTTGATATAAACTATGAAAACTTAATCTCTACAGAACCCCTTTATTCTAGAGATTAAACGTTCACTCGTCTAACCGAAGGTCTTGGATCAGATGCGCACTGCTGAGAAGTCTCATACTAGAATGAAACAACTGTCCTAGTTTTCTATGGTGGTCTAACCAAAATCAGTTCGTTGTTTTTACTATATAAATTCAATAAATATACTTCTATCTAATATTTACTAAAATCTCTGACTACTTAGATGTATTTAGATAGTCTCTCTCTCTTAGTTCATGTAGGCTTTCTCAATGATACTTTCTATGATGCATAACATATTATTTCTTTTTGTGTATTTATTTAGTGAGTCGAATTTACATGATCTTGGCAAAAGTTTAGAAGAAGTAAGTTCATTCATCTCCCTTATGTTTAAAAGAAATGTATATACTGGTTTATGTGTTTCGTTTTTATTATGATATTTATAGTCTAATTATATTACTTACAAGTAACTCATATTTTATTGCACAATTTATTATTTGTGTCACCTTGGTCGATTTGTAAATTAACTACTTTCTTATTGATTGATGTCTCGTTTTATCCATTCCGCTTATCATCTTGAATCTTAATATTCAGTCTAAACTAATCACTGATTAATTTGGAACTATTTATTCACTCTTGGTGACATGGCTCAGAATCAATCACAACGGCGTTGGTGTATACACTCTCTGTCTTCCCTTAAACTAAGAGATTAAAATCACTTCATATCTTTCTTTCTACGTACTAATTCTTTCTTCCTGTACTATATTCTAATACACAATCTTCCTTTTATATATTAGCACCATTGAATTAACTACTATGAATCCAGTGTACATCTTGTTGTGTTAATGAGGTATGGCAACTTGGACCGATTTATTTTATTTTATTTTAACACATAGATAATGGTACACGGCTGCACCAAATACATATGCGCCACACAAATCTCATTCGATATGTGTGAGGGCTGTGATACTGCCCGGGTGCCCAAACCGAAGCAGGTGGTTTTCTTAAGGGCCCACTCCCCGAGCCTTCGACCTGAAGGTCTGACCCGCAAGGCAGTGGAACATCGTAAGGAGATGCAGTTCCATGGAAGCCGGTGACCAATGATTGGTTCATACGCCATTTGTTCCCGCAGGATACTGGAGCCCATGTGCACCATTGATTTGGAATCCGGTTAAAGCCCCGGACATTCGCATATATGTATCTGGTCCTATGTTGTAGCTGACTGATTTATTCACTTATATACTGACGTTACCCTAGGATTGGTCTCCATCAGCGCCTGAGCTAATGATAAGGAATGAAGTAGTTTATCCTATTTACTGCTTCACTTATGTTAGGAGTACATGTATCAGTGTTTGACTGAATATCTGACTGATCCATAAGTTCCTCATAGCCAAAATAAAGGTCTTGTTACTTTAATCAACCTTGGGTACATTATTCCAGTGAATTATACCACATTCTGATTGAAGAATAAGTTTTGATTGTTAACAAACTATTACCTTGTTCTATCATTAAAAAAATAATGTTTACAAGACTAATAATTTCATTCAACTCTATTAGTCAATCTTCTATAGTGTGAAACTAATCAAAAACAATAAATCTGTAAGAATTTTCATATTTTACCTCAATATCAGTAGAATGTAGATCAGTATTAGAAAAATTTAATTGAAGTTACCTAGAGCAATGATACTAATTGCAGTAAACTATTAAAGAAGAAAATGGTATGAGAAACAAGTGGAGTTAAGTAACAAATAAGGTGTTCAAAATATAAATGAATATGCTGAATTAATATATCTCCACCAATGTGACTGACTTTAATTCATTTAACATTCAAAGTTCACAGAATTTGATTGTTTGGTCAACTTTTGCGTCAAGACTATAATTTATGAATAAATTAATCAGATTTGTGATAGCCAGTTCGTGATGAAAACATTAACTGTAATTCCTAATTCTAACTTCTGATTCTAAATTTCTATTCTGATTTTCTACACTAGTTTATAACCCTCTTTAGACCCTAGTATGTTGGTTAATTTTCTCAAAGTCACTTCAGCGACATTCAAAGGTTATCCTTAAACTTTTGCTAGGAAGCTTATGCTTTTTCTGAATTAACTAATAGTGACTTTGTAGTTTGGTGTTGTATATTTGGAAATTAGAGGTAAGATCGTGTTAAAGCCTTGGTTCTATGTTCTATATTGACTAGTTGAGTTATAACATGATCAATATAATTAAATCAGCGCATAAAACTAGATGATATGGTATTGGTAATAACCAAGTAATCACTTATTGCGTAAACTTCTCAGTTGCATAAGTACGGTATGATCCGAATAGCTACGTGTAAACGATTCTGACTGTGATTCAGATTTGAATCCCACGTAGAACATCATTTAACTCAAGATAGCAATACATATTTCTGACTAATTTCAAATAGCACGGAACGTAGATTAAGAAGAGCTCCTTTCAAATCGCCTCTAATTACGTAATGTCGAACAAAATGCATGGAGTTGCTGAATCAAATAATACTAACTGGTACTAATCGGTGTTGCATCTTCTTGTAACCATCCTTTTCCATTTTCCAATCTACTTCATTGTAAACTAGCATAGCAAACTATGGTTATAGGTGGTCGAGATATAAATACCTCATCTTCCTTTTAGCCACTCATAGTTCATAATCTCATCAACTAATTACTTTATGTAAATGGATAAGTTGGATAAAATTTTAAAGATTTCATTTTATTTTATTCAAGAAATAGTTAAACAGTGAAAACATTGTGGACATAAACATAAACAAACTCACAATATACTCGTGTCATAAGTTCCCTTCAAAACTTATTCAGCTATATTTCGTCACAATTTCTCCTTCTAACAGAGTTCTCTTTTTTCTTTCGTTTTCATTTCCGGTAATAGTTTAAAATGAAAAAAGATTTTGTCGAATTGAACTTGAAACAAATTGAACAACTTGGTCATGAATGTTTAAAAATGGAAAAATTACAAGATTCATTAAAACAAATGTCATTTTCTGTGAATGACATAGAAGATGAAAAACCGAAACCTTTACAAACTTGAACTGAGAAATTTTCAGAAATTCTTTACACACTTTCCCTTTTGTACATTTAAAAACTTATTTTGTTTTCTTGTATCCCTGCTTCCTTAAAACTTACATTTCTATATTAAACTATATTTTATTCATCGAAATAAATTTATCTATAACTATAGTGGAAAAATCCCAACCTTATTCTCTTTGGATTTAAACTTTTTTAACAACCATATACGTGACCATTATTAATTTACGGTTATCAAAAATCTTATAAACTACTTATAAAATAGTAAGTAGCTAGTTGTTATAACAGATGAAAATCGTATGAATTATGACTATCTAAATCGTATGTTGATCACTTTTAACAATTGAGTTGCTATTGACATGAGACATCTAATAAATGGATATCAAAGGACCTAACAAGTAATTGCTAGGGAGATTTGTTTTATATGACAAGATGATACTTGCGTACAAAATATTCAACATGAAAATAACCCCACAAGTCAACATCACTTAAGGTGTAAATAACGGTGCGATATGAGTTTTGTAGAAGAATATTAAAACAATTATGATTTAAAGTTATTATTCACACCCTTCTATGCATTAAGAACTAGGTTTTTCCACCTTCGCACTCCTCAAACATTTTTCCAGAAAGTACTGATAATTTTAAAAATGATTTAATCGGTTATTATGGTTCAAAGATGGATATAACAGCCAATAATTGTGCAGCGATTAACTTTCGTATTTACGTTATTACTGGCTCGGATTCAGTTATATTCAGAGGTAATTTTTTGTTAACATACTATGTCTGCATGTATTTGGCCAAAAAAATTGTGTCCACTAGACATATTGAACATATATTACTTTACAGTTTTGAAATATAAGTTATGGATAGTATACTCGTGTTGAAGCCTAGTGTCTTCAAAGTTTAATTCGTGTATGGTGTAACCTCAGAATTAAGGAATCAAAATGTCAGACTTGGAATACTAGATAGAGATGATGAGTCAGTTAACAAGGTTGTGAACTTTTATCAACCAAAGTGGCTACTGTGAATGTTATATACGCCTAGTCACCGCTTTCCCAACGTACTATACTGACTAATATGGATGGTAGTTGAAAATATATGAAATATCACCTACAGAATTTGATATTTTTGAATAAACTTAATCGACTACTTATAATCAAACAGCAATTTTAACACTCGCAAAATAATAACGTATAAGGAAACAGTGTGAAGAACTCACTCTTTATATAAACAGGAAAAGATTAGAACTTAGTTTAGAAGTTAATTATTCTGTATTTTGTAAACCATATTAAACAAATTAATTGTATTTGTTTCTTTTCTCTGGGATGATTTTCATCGATATATAGTATATGGATGAAACGTACTCCATATCATGTTCACTGTGCAATGCGTTCTTTAGCTTATTTGTATAAAACATCATTGACTTAAAATCAAGACTCGGTAGCTGAGTGGAAAACGCGATGGCGTTTGAAGCGAATGGTACTGGTTTAGAGTCCCATAGTGAACATCAACTCTGAGATGCAGGTACATCCAACTGACGAGTGTCAAATAGGAGGAAACGCGCGTCAAACTGCATTCCACTGCTAGCCACTATCCATCATTGCTTACAAATAGCTTGTGAATTAAGGTAATATCGAGGCATACGCACAGTATGCACATATGCCAATAACAGACTGATCAATTGCAGTCTTAAACCTCAATGGTAAGATACAAGCCAAACAATACCAAGTGAACATCATTGACTTAGTTGAGATATTAACATAATATAGTGCACAGCCGACATATAGTCAGCTATAATGCTATCAAAACTATTTTCCTCAGATAAAGCTTTCTTACAAAGAAAGATTCATTTGTTTTGTTATCTAGACATGTAGTTTGTTACATAATCACCAGCTTAAAATGATTTCTATAATGCTACTTATTCACACAAAAAATAGTGTTTGAACATTTTGGCTAATAATTATAAAGATAAATTTCGCTTGTGCTGGAAACGTATGCTGTGACAGAAGAAAACTTACTTGCTACAGGAAATCCTGATTCACACAATGCAAAGAAGAACATATCAGACTAGGACTTATTATGCAATTAAAATAAATCAAGGCTACATCAGCTGAATACACTGGTTTTTATGTACTTTAATAACACTGGTCAATCGTCAGATTTATATAAATCGATTTGAGTAGTATTTTACATCGATTAATTCAAAAACTTACAGTAAGAACACAATTTACAATCTTATCATAAGATTAAATTACTGTGACCAACACATGTAATTAAGATATATATTACTCCTTCTTTAAATATGATCACATGAATTGAAGAAAATCAATTCATAGGCCAATTGCACTCCAATAAATTCAGACGTTCTCCTATCAGATCAAGATCTAAATGAGAGCAAATTCAGTAATCTCTACAAATCGTCTATACTAGTATTTAATATATGCTCTTTTTATTTTGATACCAACTGGATCACTTTGTAAAAAGACTCTTCAGAATGGTTTATTAGGGTTTAGGTGGATGAAATGTACTTCCCTGGACCTGATTACCATCTAGTGTCTGAAATAGACAGGTAAAGAGATATACGTATTACATTTGTGTTTTTCTTTTAAATAACCTGAACTTTTGTCGATAAAAGATGTAAGGAGACCTGGTTCTGATTTATACGCCAACCATGGGTTGATTTCTGATCATGAAATTTAAAAGCGTTACACATCCTTCTCGTCACTAAAAGAAGGTAAATTTAAATGTTCTTATTTATCATGCAAATAGTTCCTTTTACCATTTCGAAAAGAGCAAGAACAAACATTTTAGCAGAATAGTATGGATTCAATTTATTTCGTAGGTTCTTGTCAGCTGCTTACAACCTGTGATATTTAAAATCATAATTACGTAATGGGTTTAAATTATATGGAAGAGTTTGGTTGGAAGTAATATTGGAGACATTAGTATAGTGTATCAAGGGTGTAAATAAATAAATAGACTGAATATTGTAAATATATAACTTATGTGAAAGAACATTCTACAACATTGATTGTGACAACAGTTTAAAGGGCCAGATACAAGTGATGAGTAGTGAGTAAACATTGATAGGAATAAAATGAGTAGAGCTCCATTGATAAAATAAGATTATTAATTTAGAAGATAGTTGAAGTGAAACTCAATGATGTAATAAATACAAGAAAAAGTTTAAAGAAAAATAATAAAACATTTTAAGATGTAGCGAAGGAATATTTGTCATCAAGGCAAAGAACGATTAATAACCATCTGCTTTTGAACACATAAGTCAAGTTTTTGATGCCTAATAGCAACGGTTTCAGAAGATTGAAGTTTGGCTGCATATTATTCACCTTAAAGGATTGCAAAGTATCCATCTGATGTCCTGTATCAAGGACATGTTTAAAGTCTTCCAATCTCTTGTTCTGAGGCTTTTTGGAACATGTTCAAAAAATCTAAGATATACCCTTCTATCTACAAAGAATAAATACTTAAACTACATTCATCCTAATGATTACAGACTGTAAACCGTTATCAGTTCCCTTTAAGCTAGTAAAAGGCATCTTTTAACAATAAGGCAAGTAAAATAATTGTAGAAAATTGATCATCATTATTATTCATATCATCAATAGTTTCATTTCATAATGTATTACAGTGTACATTTTTATGTTCTATACCATAACCTTAACTAATGAGTACTTTTATGGAAAAGAAATAAAAGTTCCTTTAATTAAAAAGATTGAATAGTGAAGGTAATAAGAAGAAAATTTTAAAAAGAAAACCAATATACAACTACCCAAGTTCATTATGGTTGTTCCTATGGTGAGAGACCTCTCATTTTTATCATTCTTCCTACCTCTTTTTTCCCTTCCTTCCTTCCTTCCTTCCTTCCTTCCTTCCTTCCTTCTTTCTTAATTTGTTACAATGACAATATGCATTTAGTTGATTCTTTCTGTAAATAATTAACAATTTAAATTATTATTTTTATTATTTTGTTTTCTAAAAATAGACTTTTCTCAATGAAAAGAAAAGAGCTTCCTTTTTTGCTTAAAAAAGAAAAAATAATTAAGAGTAACCATGTAGTTTTGAAAAGGATTAGAGAAAGAGAAAAAGAAACTCTTCCTTTAGTTGTTCTAGAGTTACTGTTGATCTCAAGCTCGAGTAAAGGAAAAGGGTTGGGCATGGGGTTAACAACTCCGTCCCGTAGAAAAGGATTGGTAAAAAAAGAACACTAATCAGTATGATTGATTTTGTTTCTAGGTATGGGTTAAGGTTAATAAGTCAAAACCGTGTTTACTAATACATGAACTTGACTTTGAGCCATATTTGATGTTTATTGGTTTAGTGATACTGTAATGAATAAAAACTAAACATGGGGAGAACCAATTTTCCGTTTATCACAAAATCACATTTAGTGAAATATAGAAATCATGTATTAAATACATCATTTGCACATCTTCTTTGTGTTAACATTTATGTACTCCATTATTCCTCTAATTCTGTTGTTATTTTGATTATCCTCCAATTTCCTTCCTGTTATTTTTCACTTCAATCTTCTACTGTTAGGCAATCGAATTCCGATTACTTCCACATACTACTTATATCTATCAACATAAATAGCATACACCACAATACTATTTGGTTACTGAAATCATAGAAGATGGAGTGAGGTTTGAATCTGTTACTTTGTGACTTAAAACTGAGCACTTTAACCATTGATCTACTGGTTTACATGAAAACTTTATGAAATTTATAGTAATAAATAGTATTTGTATCATTGAGAAACAATTTTTACATTTCCTAAATGAAGATCAACTTTATAGTATAACACATATTCAAACAACACATAATTTATATCATTATAGGCTGAATTTAGCTAGATACTTATTGAAAAACAGATATTTCTTTGAATAGCCAAATCAACTCATGAAGTAATTGATTGATTGTACAGTGCCATATAAGTAAATGAAGATGGTCTATTTGAAGTCTATGGGATTATCATAACTAATT